GTCTTTGCTTCTGCACCTTGACAGTGAGTGAGAATCAACGTCGCTTTCTGTTAAGCTACTAGAGTGCATTTGGCGATGGACTTCATAATTTTTAACCCTAATCAAGTGATGAGAACGACACCTGAACTTGCACCCCCTCTCCTAACTACCGCACAACACCCACGGGATAACGTTTGCGCTCTTGACATATTTTACGTGCATCGTTTCCCTGCACGGCGGGTCTTCAGTGGTACTAAGAGCCCGAACTCATGGCACTCTGGCTACGAGTCCGTTACCTTGACCACTAGGCTAACGTGGCCTGCACAACTGAGCTACATACAATTGTCTATGAGTAAATATTGTTTGTGCTTCTATGTTACACGCATAAACGTACTTTTTGAAAACTCTACCCCTGTGATTTATTAATAGTTTATTAATAGTTGGCAAATGTCAAGTTAGCGTTACTTTTGGTGACCGAATTTGGCGACAGTATGGATGCTTCTGGAAATGACTTGAGAAATCTATAACGTCACGACCTATGACGTAAGCGGATTTTTCGAAAAAGCACAGGAAGGTAGAGAATAACCTTTAGGCAAATTTTACTTGGCACTCCTCTACAGTTAAATTCAACTTTTTATGACCCATTTTTACTAAATGTTCCGTATGTATAAATAAATTTATTACAGCATCACGAAAACCTTTTTTATATATAAGGGAAGATTAAATCGACTTTCGAGATAGCGATATTCAATTTGTGTTTTAAGTGCTACTCTAATGAAACCGAGACTTTCTAGTCCATCGGCAATTTCAAATTTCAGAAAACAGTGGCGTGAAGGAGATGAGATATCCCCCTCCCTGCAAAGTCAGGTTTGGAGCCCCAAGCAAGTACCAAAGGGTATATACGAGGGTGGATTGATAAGTTTCCGGCCTGACCAAGAGATGGCGCCACTAGGCCTACCTTGAGGTGGCGTTCTATAGTACCATCCTTAGATAGCTTGTAGCTATAGTTTAAGTCCGATCGCCATGTTAGTTTAGGTTTGAGAGCACGCTGAACAAGACGCCTCTGTTTTTCGTAAAAATGGAAAAGCTGGAAATTCGTGCTGTCATCAAATACTTTTATTTGAAGGGGTTAACACCGAAGGAAATTAAAGAAGAGATGGACTCAACACTGGGGACATCCTCCCCATCATATTCAACCGTTAAGCAGTGGGTTTCCGAGTTTAAAAAGGGTCGTGTGAGCACCTCTGATGAGCCTCGCTCAGGACGCCCCATTGAGGTCACAACTCCAGATATGATTGAAAAAATCCGTCAAATAGTGCTGAAAGACCGCAGATTAAAAGTGCGTGAGATAGCTGAGACCTGTAAGATGTCATATGAACGTGTACAAAATATTTTGCACCAACATTTGTATATGGAAAAGCTCTGTGCAAGATGGGTGCCGCGTTTACTAACAGTCGACCAAAAATTGATTCGAAAGAACATTTCTACCGCCAATTTGGCGTTGTATAAGCGTAATCCAAGCGAATTTTTGCGTCGATTCGTAACCGTTGACGAAACTTGGGTCCACCACTACACCCCTGAAACCAAAGAACAGTCTGAACAGTGGATTGGACCAGGGGAACCAACTCCAAAGAAGGCAAAAACAATTTTTTCGGCGAACAAGGTTATGGCTACTGTTTTTTGGATGCAAGAGGCATTATATACATTGATTACCTTAAAAAGGGTAAAACTATCACTGGTCAATACTACGCAGACTTATTGCAACGTTTGAGCCACGAAGTGAAAATTAAACGACCTCATCTGGCGAAGAAAAAAATCTTGTTTCATCACGATAACGCACCAGCGCACACGTCAATCGTTGCGATGGCTAAAATCAACGATCTGAAGTTTGAATTGATGCCGCACCCTCCCTACTCTCCAGACCTAGCCCCAAGTGACTATTATCTGTTTCCTAACCTCAAAAAATGGCTTGGCGGTAAGAGATTTGCGGACAATGAAGAAGTAATCGAAGCTGTAAATGGGTATTTTGAGGAGCTTGACGAATCAGTCTATAGAGATGGCATTACTAGACTAGAACACCGCTATGAGAAATGTATCAGCCTTGGAGGAGATTATGTTGAGAAATAAAAAAAAATTCTTAAAAACGTTGTTTTTCTTGGTCAGGCCGGAAACTTATCAATCCACCCTCGTATTTGGAGTCAATCAGGCTATGGGCCCCCCGAAATGCGGGGTTTCGGGGTTGTACGTTACGCCACTGTTAGAACACAATGCGCTTAAATGAGAAAATTTGAATTCACAGAATTAATATTATTTTCACGAACTCGCAATAACCCGTAGATTAGAGCCTTAAATCTGAAAGAGCTGGAATATCTCTGCTCTTTAAAATCAGAGTAAGCTTCACAATTTTCACGCATTATATGGTTTGAAAGTTAGGAGAGGGAAAAAGAAACTCTCTCTCTGCGATATCAACCGCATTCTAATGCAAGCGAGGGCTATTAGCAATGAACCTTTATAAATTTTAACCGTGGTCAAGTACCAAGGATGACATCTGAGACCACACCCCACTCTCCAAACTTATTCTTAAAGGAGATAATCCACAAAACAAACTAAATATTTTAATCAAACCAAAAAATATCAGAAGAAAAAAAAATTGGAACCCACATTTGTTATTCCCAAACTAAAAAAAAAACCTGAAGAACCAAAAAAAACAATTCACTTCTAACTTGCCCATTTGCTGCGATTTCAAACACAACCATAATTCTCGTAACGACAGTTAAAGTGGATGTTCTTTTCATCCGAACTCTTTCACAAAAAAAAAAGGAACGAAGGGGGGAGAAGAAAAAAAATGAACACAGTCTTCACCGTTCGAAGAAGTTTTTCCTCTTTTTCGCTCTAAAGTTTCTTTTCCGAGAGGCGGTAAATTGCCAGTTGAGAGATGAAGTGGTCGCTGTTCTAATCCGTAAAAAATCCCCGTCTGTCCCCAGCGTAAGCCAGAGAAGTGTTTACGGTCTCGAAGAATCTAGGAAAAGCCCTCTCATCACTCACTGCGACCGTGATCTTTTTCACTCATCGATCGTAGAATTTTATTTTTGCTTAGATCCCTAAAAGACCAGGAAGACTGTCTCTTCTGGGACAGTCAACGACTTTAATAAGTAATAAAGAGAGAATAAATACCAGATGATGCGTGGCTAGAAAAATGGAATGTATAATTAAAACACGTTTTGCTTTTTCTTGACAAAACAATTTGTATTGAAAGCTTTGTGAAAAGTAATTAGGCTTAGTGACAGATTGTTTTCTAAGACCTTTATGCGTCCAGTGGGCAGCTGAATAAATATGAGGTTGAAAAATTTTTGCCTTGCGCAGACATTTTTATTTATTTATTTATTTTTATTTATTTATTTAATTTTTTTGTCTTACACTAGAACCAGATTGCTTATTTACAATTATGTTTTTACCGAATATTTCTGAAACTAAATTGATCGACTATTGCAGCCATTTCAGAAATATTTTATTATATTTTTCACTTATATAAGGCATCCGACTAGGCTCCGAGACCAATTTTGAAATATTGATTTTCTGAAGAATTCTATTGTTTTAAAGAACACAATAGGCTTAAATAGTCGTAAGTATTAAATAAATAACTTACTACATCCCTTGTTTTTGAAAAAAAATATGTTTTCATAAAATTTTGGCAAAATTTTTTATTTTTAGAGGAAAAAAAAACAAATAAAATACATTGGGCATGATGTCATTTTAGTTTCATTGATATCAGTGGCTCACACAGAAATTTTTCAAGGGGGGATGTCCAGGGTCGAAAGTTCACCCTGCCCAAATACACCGCCTAATATATTATTGTGATTTTGTCGAATTTCGGGAACAAAAAACAGTAAAAAATTAATTATTGAACAAATAATTAGCGTTAAATAATAAAATTAATTATTAATAACAAATATTTATTAAATTTTATGTAATACATACATACGATTATAATCAATCAAAAAAAAATAAAGGGCTATGGGAGGTCCGGACCCTTTGTGTTTGCCACTGATTGATATACTTCTTGACAAGTCTGAAGTGTCACAAACCGCAGGGTAAAATTATTTTAAGATATAAATCTTTTATAGTAATTTGAATTTTATGATTTTTTGCCAAAATTACTTTATGTTGTAAACTAAAAATGGCTGCAAAATATTATTCAATGTAAGAATCTTGCTGTTTGTTACACTGTAAAAGGCTTATTGCTTAAGTGTTACAAATTTCATTTAATTTTTCGATCGTTTTGGAGATATCCCCTTTTTCATGCACAAATTATCCTGAAAAAATTTCATTCTTCTTTATTTAAAAAATATTTTTGTAAGTTAGGAAAAGTAAATATTAGAACAAGTAATATAAAAAAAATTTTTTTAATCTATTCCTACACAGGTCAACAAAGAATAATTTTATTTTAGTTCCTTTTTATTAAATAATTACAATTAATATAAATATGTACATACATTTGACAGAATCACAATATTAAGTGACAAAACAGAAAGCGATTTTCCTTGGAATTTTCCATTTTTCTTTCTATATATGGTGTTATACTATTATTTTTGTCTGTTACTATTTATATTCATTAATTAAATTTAACGTAAAATCCGGCGTATAACGCGCACATTTAACACAGAGAATTAGATCGATATATAAAGGGTGCGCGTTATACGCCGGGTATAAAAGCGATAAGTTTAAAAATAACAAAAGATATAAGCATAAATTTTTTTTTACTTCTACTCATATCGAAATACTGTTTATTTAAAAGAAAGTACATGCCTTATGAGTTATAAGGGTTGTAGTGCTAGAAGGTATACTGTTTTTTCCAAAAGTCTAAGTTTATACATCCAACAAATCAACTTAAAACATAAGAGCATTGTTTACTAACATTTCAGATTTCTTCGTAAAAAAAGGGGTGCACGTCTTACGCTGGATTTCACGGTAATTATTACAATAAAATTGTATAGTAAAAATAAATCACATTCTCAGAAATTAGGCCATCCCAGGTAGGATTTGAACCCACACCCTTTGGATTAGATGTCCAACGCGCTATTGCGCTACAGGGCCACAACGAGTGTTTTTTCTTTATATATATAGTGCTGGACTATTATTTTTGTTTGTTACTATTTATTCATTAATTTAATAGAATCAATAATGGAAAAATTATATTAATATCAAGTGTCATCCCTTACAAGTTCAAAAATATGTATTTGTACTTAGTGGGTGAATAAAAAGTATTTATTCACGACTGAAAATTTGAACAAGATAGATAGAGTGTGAACTAATAGTAAGAATTGAAAAAGCATGGATATCATAATTTTTTTTTCTGTAATTGTATTTTAAAAAGTAAGTTAACTAACTTTAGGTTGTTTGGTTAGAAAATATGAATTTTTTGGTTTTCTAAATTTTAAAACACAAGAGTTGTGTCAATTTTACAACTAAGCGAATAAAATATATTTCGAATAAAAATTTTGTACTTTATTTGTTCAAGAGTTGTTAATTAACTTTTTTACATAATTTTTTACGCATTTGAAGGTAATGACACTAACTATCCAAAAAACATCTTAACTTTATTTGAACGTGGCAAAATTTTGTTTTGTATTGTTTTCCTTAAAATATAACCACCAAAAATTTTGCAAATTCAATGAAATTTTTTTATTTATTAGCTTAAGATAAAAAAATATTAGGCGTTATCTATCAGGCATTGTCACCTTTGGAATTCCCTTTTTATTGACTTTTGTTATATACTGAAGAATGATGTAATATCTCTGTTGATTACTCCCTTCAAAACATATTTTTTAAAAATTGCTTTAATATTTCTAATTTAGGACCTAAAAAATTTTAATTTCCGCTGTGTGAAAACAGATTGTACTTTCTTTTGACACTATTCTGTCTACCTTTCATATGAGTTTCATTTTTCAAATTGATCACGAAAATATCACTGATATTTTTTGTAAAAAGTGGCTTAAATGCTCCAAAGCCCCTTTTTAATTTAGTTTTTTTTTATATTTAACCGCTTAATGCATATATTTTTTTCTTTAAAAAGTAGCAAAAGAAATCGATTTTTTTATTGAAGAAAACACACTTTAAAGCCTTGTTTTATAAAAAAAGTTTAAAAAAATACAAAATCTATCAAAATTTTAATTTTAATTTTGGATTTTGATTCACATTAGGGATAAGAGCCAAATATTGTAATTTTGCACGTCGACTCTCATTATCTTTCTTTTCGAATTGCTGTTTTGAAAGAAAACATGTTTTTATATATATATATCAGTAAAAATATTTATTGATACTTTTCCAAAAGAATTAATAATAATAATATACTATTCATTAAAAAAAAAAGAAAGAAAGAAACGAGCCTTATAGTAGTCGCATACGATGTGTAACATCTGACATGTTATCGTGGCAAATTCGCAATAGCAACTTAAATCCTGAAAAAAATGAATCGAGTATGATTGGAAATAATTTTCTATGGAATAATTATATGTTTAATGAAAATTTTATTAAATTAACACAAGGAGTAATGCAATTTTTTATCAAAAATAATTATTCTTGTTCAATTTGTAGAAAAGCAGTAATGATAATTTATGATAACTAAAATATCACATATATACTTGTGTTTTCAAAGTATTTAAAAACCGTTGAAAAATAGCGTCAATAACAGTACCACTGTTAGTTGTCGAAACATTTCGATTTTTGTTCATTTCGAACTTGAGTTCATCATTCAAAAAAGCTATGAGTGGCTCGGCTTCTAGCAAACTGAAATTAACTTTAAAATCACCACACAAAGTCATGGGAAGCAAGTGATAGTTTTTTTTTAAAAAAAAGAGCAGAACCACTTTCGGTATATGGTGAAAGTAAAAAAATGCAGGAAATCTTTAATTTTTTGAACTGCTTGATTCGGAGAAATGTATACGACCACTGAAATCACTGTTTGTCCATTTTCAAATAAGCATTTTGCCGCACATATGTCCCCAATATCTTGACTAACAATACCCAGTCCACTTGTTTGACGATAAGTAATATCCATATGTCGAGCCACAACATGTGAGTTGTTCTGTTTACGATAGATCGCAACACCAGCTGCGCTGTGGCCCGGTCGTTTAAACTGTACGCAGCAATCGAAGTCAGGTATCGAAACAAGTTCGTCATTGTCTAACCACGTCTCTGCCTAAAGGACTTAGCTTCTTCTCTAAACCTAAAGTGAGAAAACAAAAACACCCACGGCCTAGACCGCAGGGAGTGGGGGAGGGGGTCGGAGACCCTCCCGCATGAAGGAGAAAAAACAGAACTTCACTGAATAGCACGCGCTTCCCAAACTTCCTGTTACGCATTTCCGTCCCTTTTCACGAAATCACCCCCACAAATCTCCAGCAATCGAGAGGAAAGATGTTACCACACCAAAACTATTCAAAGTCTTCTTTTGTGAAAATATTTAAAAGCAAATTGCATAACGTAGCTCAACGTAAATTTTTACACATGTAATGATTCTTTCCTTTTCCTTTTTTTGCTTTGCTATATCTTTTAGCACCGCATGCTGCACAGTATGTGGTGGGAAGTTCTTTTTTTGTTGTTCGTGGAACAAAACATGAAAAATAACATTCCGTTAGTCGAAAATTCTAGATTTGGCCTACCAGATTTTGGTTGAAGCCCAGTAGCTGAGTGGTCGTGCATCGCGCTTCCACACCACATGTCTGGGGTTCAAATCCCTGGCAGAGCAAGGTCAACGCAGCCTTTCATCTCTTCAGTAAGTCGATAAATGAGTGCCAAGCTTGCTTTGGAACTGAACACTAGGGGTTTGACGTCAGACGGATTACTTGAGCGAAACATCTGGTCATTTACCCCAGCGCCAAAGGGCACGTAAACTGAGATATGCACAGCAGGTCTTGGGCCCTAATGGGCTGTTGCGCCACTGAAATTAGTTGATTTTTTGTCACCAATTTACTCGATTAATGTAACCACAACGACGGATAGAGTTAGCCTCGCGAGTGCAGATGGCGCAAGCTTATATTCGAATGTGAAAATTACAGCCGCAAGAAATACAACGCTGCTCGAATTATCTCGAGCGCAAACGTTAAGGGTTTAATATAAATTGTCACATTACGCGTAACAAGTATGCTTCGTACACTGAGAAAAAATTTCCCTACGCTGTTGTTCTTTTCTATTGCTAAACGAAATTAATATGGCTATTGGTAGTTCATTTTTCTTAAAAGGAGCAAATATTTCTGCATATTTTGTTCATTAAATCAGTGGGTTATTTAAATCATCATATTTTTTTTAAATTTGTGATTAAAAAATTTTACTGTTTTCAGATTGATTTGATGCGCTATTTTTTTCAAACTTTATTGTTAAATTTCCTTTTAACTACAAAATAATTTCATACCATAAAATCTAATGCATTGTGGAAGTTACTTTATTTTTACTTTTACTTCAGTTGATTAGGTCAGAAATTTCTGTCGAGAGAAAAAAAAACATGAAAAGGCAAAAAACACAGGTGTATAAAAAATATTGTCCTTTCGTTACCTTACTGTTACCTTAAAATGTTTTGGTCATTTAAAAAATTTCAGTTTTTAAATAAATCTTTTGACAATATGGAAAACGGATTTACAATTTATAATAATGTACATTATTCAGACATTTTTTCCTTCTACATTTGTTCAAAATTCTTATTTGTGTCTTTCTCTGCCCCTCTTTTTTCAACGTTTTAAAAAATTCCTTACTCTGGAATATTTTTCAGGCAATATTGCAATCAATTTTTATTCATATTTTCCTACTAGTTTGAGTTATTTCTTGTTAGATTTTTGCTATTGTTGCCATTTTTAGTGAAATAAGTAAAATAAATTATTTTTAAATGAACAAACTGTTTTGTCTTTCAAATTTAATTATATTCCAGCTTCAATATACTGAAAATTTTTTATTTATTATATTAATACATGTAATGAAATGGCAACACGATACGTGTTCAAAAAATCATTCCAAAACAAGTGTTGCCGTAGCAACGATGTCTTCGTATTTTAAACCCACACATTAGCTTATTACTCTCCTATAATAATACACAATTTTAATTTATAGAAGATTGGAAAAGTCGAGTTTGCCAGTAATTTCATTCTACGTATCTACAATTACTTCAAGTTCCCTCTTTCTTTAATAGAAATATATAACTAAAAAATAATGTATAGAAATATTGCATTATTTTTATAACGAGTTAAAATAGTTTTTATAACGAGTCATTTTGTAAAGTTTTCCAGGTCTTGAAGTAATTGATATTGCAAAACTCTGTAAATATACTATGCAAAAATTGTGTACACATTTTTATATATGAACTCAATATTTTATTTTCGAGCTATTTAATTTTCTAAGAAATTCGTATCAATAAAAGAAGGTTTTTTAAAATAATTTCTGACTTCCTTTCAAAGTATTGAGTTCATAGGAAAATTATTGATACAATTTATTTCCAGGGAATTTATAATAATCCTAAAAATAAAATTTGAATTTGTATGAAATCACATGATAGCCTAAGCAGTCGAGAAAAAGAAGAAAATTTAACTTTTTAAATTTTCAAGATAATTTCGATTAAATAGAGTATAATTTCGAGAAGATAAACATATTTACTTTAAAAATTTCTAAACGAATTTAAATTGTAATGCCGGACGGTTCCTGCTTCCATCTGAAATCCCTTGTCTACCCGCAGATCCAGCTAGGTGTGTGGGAGAAACTGAATAATCAACAGACATGATTTCACACTAACTATTTTATTGTTACCAAAATATCAATCAGACACAATAACAATGTAATTAAGATCAATAATCAGATAGTAGAGCGCGGAGGTGGGATTCAATAACACGGGGATAATACTACGCACCCTCAACTGATTCCACGATAGCTTCAATACGCTCAATATATACTACGTCGCACACTAATAAGCTAACTTCTAATTAAACAAGGCTCACGATACCTGTACTTTTATGAAGCGGATCCTACACTTGAATCTTGCAGAAGATCTTAATCTGGATTTAATCACTGTCGTTGGATCCACTCTCCGTAATCCTTTTCATGGACAAATTCCA